TTCTCTACCTTTAGCTGTGGGGTTTGTTCTACAAGTCTTGGGTCTTTTTCTGGGTTACTTACACTGATGTGAGTGTGATCTAGTTGTATCCATGAGACAAAATGGACTGAGGGTCCTCTTATTCCACCATTTTCTCCACACAAATCTCTATAGATACTTCAACTTTTTAGTGAATTATTGGCCTAATATAAACGTTTCCTTTTTAGTTTCAATCTTTTAGTGCCCTCAAGAATCAGTTCTTTCTATTGTAAAAAGAATATGACTAAACTGTGTTACCTCATCAGTCAATCTCTGATCTCTGGCCCCAGTTCCAAGCTTTCTCTTTCCCAAGAAGCTGTGAAGCACAGAGGTCTGTGCTCTAAGATTTACACATGTGCTGAGAGCAGCTGCCTTTTCAGCATTCATTTGATTACCATTTTTCATCAGAAATTTTCTACACTGTTGGTGGGAATGTGAACTGTTGCAGCCCCTCTGGAAAAAAGTATGGAGGTTCCTCAAAAAAATAACAATAGAACTCCCCTATGACCCAGCAACAGCACTGCTGGGATTTACCCAAGGGATATAGGAGTGCTGATGCATAGGGCACATGTACCCCAATGTTTACAGCAGCACTCTCAACAATAGCCAAAACACGGAAAGAGCCTAAGTGTCCATCAACGGACGAATGGATCAAGAAGATGTGGTTCATTTATAGGATGGAGTACTACATGGCAATGAGAAAGAATGAAATGTGGCCATGTGTAGCAACATGGATGGATTTGAGGGTGTTATGCTGAGCGAAAGAAGTCAGGCAGAGAAGGACAGCTGCCATATGTTTGCACGTATAGGAGGATTAGGAGGAACTTAACGGAGGACCGTGGGGGAGAACAAGGGGGGAAATAGTGGGGGAGAGGAAGGGAGGCAAACCATGAGAGACTCTTGAATGCCAAGAACAAACTGAGGACTGATAGGGCCTCATGGGGCCTGATGGGGGTGGGGCAGAGGAGAAGGGGGTGATGGGCATGGAGGAGAGCACTTGTGGGGATGAGCATGGGGTGTTATATGGAAACCAACTTGAAATAAACTATTTAAAAAAAGAAATTTCTTTACTTTTTAAAATTTTTTAACATTTATTTATTTTTGAGAGACAGGGAGAGACAGAGCGTGAGCAGGGGTAGAAAGAGAGAGAGAGAGACAGACAGAATCTGAAGCAAGCTCCTAGGCTCTCAGCTATTAGCACAGAGCCCATTGTGGGACTCAGACTCACAAACCATGAGATCATGATCTCAGCTGAAGTCAGACACTCAACCAGGTGAGCCACACAAGTGCCCCTCCTTACATATCGTTTAACACAGTTCTTAATGAAAAAAAAGTTTCAACATTATACTGAGATTATTGTTGTTTTCTAGCAGAATTTTTCTGGTTTTCTAATATATCATAGTGTGATATCTCAGAAGTGCTAATTATTTCTTCATAAATAAAAATTTATTTTTAATACATAAAATAAATCATAAAAAATAAAAGTGCAAATCTTCAAAAAAATCTTCTACACCATAGAAAGTATTTTTTCAGAAAACAAAATGTACATTCAAGGTGTACTTCTAATGATGCTAACAGATACAAAGATGTCCAAATAGAAAGTCAAGTGTGTGTTTCACGAAGTATTTGAGAATAATACATTTCGCTTTGAGGACATTCACTCCATGGAGTAGGGAAGGTATGTTTATATTTAGGTACATCATTATCCATGATTAATTCAGATATAATCAACAGCATATGGTAGACTCAAGAACTGTTCGAGTCAAAAGTTCACAACAGTGTAGATATAAAACATTTTTGTCTAATTAAGGCTGTCTAGCATATACCAGCAAAGGTAGTTGCTATAACTCATCTAATAGATATGTCATATTAGGGAAGATGTCTCAAGCTAGAGGCATCCAAATAATGAGAAGTATAAATTTTTGACAATCATTTTAGAAAAGGTAAAACAGTGTCCCGTTCAGGTGCAACATGTTTTATACTATGAGTCTGGTTATTTATCTCCATATGTTCATTAAGCAAGATGGTTAGAAGAAATGGTCAAAGGAAAAATTATTTATACCCTTGAAGAATTCTATCTTACAAAAATCTTAATGTGGGAAAATGTAATCACATGCCCTTGTGCCAAAGAAGCTTTGTGAGGGTGTTAAAACCTCTAAGGGCCATGGCTGTGGAGAGGACTTCTTCATTTTTGCAAAGTTAAAGTTCAGAAATGATCGTCTATTTTTTTTGATCAGCACAAAAGGACTGATTGTTGGATAACAAGAGGAGAGAAAATTAGTAATATTTTCCAATCTTTGTACATCATGTCTATAAATTATGTAAATGGTAAGGCAACTGTTGGTCCAGTAAAAAAAAACAAAGCAGCTCACCAGTGCCAGGATTGTATGGGTGGCTTTGATTTCAGGAGAGACTCTTGGGCAGAGGCTGGTCCTACGGACATGTTGGACTGTCTTGTGGTGTATGAAGAGGAACTTTACCATGTATGCACTGGTCCAGATCATGAGACAAATGCAGAGAATATCTCGTAAGACCATGCCCCCTAGAAAAGCAGCCTCCTGAAGTTTATCAGGTTCTTTTCCACTACAGTATGTCAGAGAATACACTTGTCCAACTTCAGTGATATTGTAGGGGCCCACTGCAGTTATGAGGACACGAATGTAGATCAGCATGTTGGTGATCCAGAAAGAAAAGAAAGCAGGAAAAATGCACGTAGAGACTTTGGGTTTGAGCCATGCCCACCTCGAGTTTCCGGGAGTGATAATTATGGCCTGAGAAATACTCAGGAAAGATGTGGTGCAGAGGGAAACACCCCGTGTGACTCTATATATGTACAACACTGCCTTACAACCAATGTCATCCAGAAAATTTCTGACTCCAAAGGCATTTATTATTTCCGGAATCGTACTGGAAACAAGTGTCATGATATTAGCTAAAGTTAAATGGGTGCATATCAAATCGATAGGCTTTTTCATTTGGGGCCGAAATAAAGTGTTGATATTTAACACGAGTAATAATGTGTTTCCGATAAAACCAATCCCAAATTGAGAGAGAAAAAATATTCCCAATATAATATCACTTGAAACTATTATATTCATGGCCTCTTTTACACTGGATAGACTCAACAGCCTAAAAAGAGGCACAAAATGATCTGCAAGCTGGAAAGAAATAGCAGGGCTCTATGGAGAGCCCATGAGGTATGACCACTCTTGGCAGTAGGTTGTGCAAACTCTCTGTAACAACATTCAGGAAATTAAGAGTTAGTTCTAGAGGCATATGTCAAGGATTACGGATGTCCTGTCTGGGGAGTATTCGGTTAGAGCCAAAACATGACTTATTTATAAAAACATTACTCTAATTCTGAGAAATAAACTGACTATCCTGAAGGATAATTTTTTGTTCATGAGAAAAACAATATTTCAGACTTATGGAGATTTTATTTAAGTTCTGGGTATGTATTCTGAATTTCATTTGATAATTTTTAAAGTCTTCAACCTTCTGTCATATACAAAGGTTGTCAATTACTAAGGTATTTTAATATTTATTATTACATTTCTATCATATGTAACACACACTATTGTTATCATTATTCACCAGAAGAACTCCATCCCTAGAGTTGCACATGACCAGTTGGCTCTGTAAATTCCTTTTCCTGACCCCTTCAACATACTTCCACAAGTCCAAGACCTTTCCAGTGCACATGATGAATATCAGATCAGCTCATGAGTCCGTTCATTGCATCTGCCATCTCTGTCCTGAAAATTCACTTCTTGTCTTTGGTCTTGATGCGGAAGTCACTGTTTTGTTCTTGATCTGGAAGTCACTGCTTGCCTAGCATCTCTCTCAAGTAGTGCGATCCTTCTCTCCCCTGTGTCCTATATCACTAGTCCTGTAAGTGAGAATGCTTTCTTTGATCCCAGGCATATTCAGATAAGTCTACATTATTGCAGCTTTGGAACATTTGTCATCATTCTTTGTGGAAGTAATCTACTGACCCAAGTCACTCCACTTAGTAGCTACGGACTCATTGTGACTCTTCCCAACTCAAATTCTGTCATGTTCTTGGATATTTAGTTCCCATACAGATGATCCGTGCAATATTCCTAGCTTCTCATATTTGTGACCTCTCTTCCAACACTCTTACCACCTCCAACCTCATCCACTCTTTC